ATTGAATTTCTTTGTATTCCACAAAAGCATAAAATAATGAATTTCTTTTCATTCCACGGAAGCAGAAAATACAAAATTTCTCCAACAAACATCAGATTTTTCTTTGCATTCCACAAAAGCAGTAAAGATACAACATATCGTTATGCTACAAAACATGCCATAAAATCTTATGCTTGAACAAAATACAGTAGTAGCCAAAATAAACTCGGAGTGTAGTGTCGATAAGAACTATCGCAACATAAAAATTAATCATAAGATGAATTAAGTCAAGCTTCTTAGAAGTCCTTGCATTAAAAGCCTTAAATTTGTAATGTGTCACATAAGATGGCTTTTCTTGCTCATCGTTCTACCCATTTAAAGTAACTACAATTATCCTTATTTCAATCATAAATGCACATAGCAAACTGCCTTCCACTGTTAGGTCCTTGGTGGCAGGTATACAAGATACATTTGAGGTGACAATGATAGTAAAAGTTGTAGAAAATTTGTCAAAAAACCACAACATTAGGTTTTAGCAATCCAAGAAATATCTATTAGAAAAATTTGAAATAAGCATTAGATCTCTTGTAAGAGTATATTTAAGAGTTTATAATGCCTATACAATGTAACAAATAGTAGTAATATAGATTGTAAGAAAAAAGTGCAACAGATATAGTAGAACGTCATATCATATTGACTTCATATTTTGGAACATATCAAAAGATCAAGCATTTTTTTGATTGTTATATGACCTTTTTTTTTAATATAATCTGATAATGGGCCTATTTGTTAATTCAAAAAAAAAAGAATTAAAGGGATCGATAACTCACTACTGCTTATGGAGCTACAATCAAAGTAATTAAAAAAATCTTAAGAGTCAAAGATCCCTTGCTAATTACAATAAATAAAGAGAAAAACAAACATAAATGCAAGATAGACAAGATGCCAAATCAAAAAAAAAATCAAAGTAGCCCAAAGTTGAGATAGATATGAAACCCAATGGTACATCAGTAGGCGACAACAAAGTAATGATCAGGAGCGCCAACAATCATACTTGCAAAGCAAACCAAAAATAGAAAAAAAGATACCTAAACCAAGCAAACATAGGAGCACAACACAGCATATGACAACAAAGAAAAGAATAACTTGAGGGTAATCAATAAGATAAAGCAAAATATAACATGAATGTAATACTCCATTTTAACTATGCAACAAGTGACAACATAAATCCCATTCACCATTGATCCAAGCAATATTAATTCTATTATGACGAATACAAGCTATGGAGAAAACAAAAACAAAATAGAAATAAAAACATACACCTCAAATACATCTACAAAGCAAGACAAAAATAAAAAGAAAAATAGACCTCTAAGCCAGTGCAAACACAAGAGCACAACACAAGACACTAGGCGCACAACACAACATACAACCAACTCATTAAATCATATAAACCTAAAGCCAAGTGGAACCAACAACAAAATTAATCCAATTCTCCATGTAAGCCAAATTGATAGGAGAAAACATGAATCCCAATCAACAATCACTACAAGGAAAACAATCATTTCTGGCGGCCACTTTTGCCAAAAAAATTATCAATTTCCATCAGAATTTACATTTTCGGCGGTGTTCTAACGTAAAATATTCCGTCGGTAAAAGCTGTTTAGAAAAATTAAATCTAGCAAATTAAAATCCGACATAAATTTTTTTGGCGGTCTTCTGACGGCTATACAACATATTTTTCCTATTAAAATTGTCATAAATCAACAACGATAACTATGGTGGGAAGATTGTCAAAAATAAAATAAAAAATTATCGCGGACTAGTGGCGGCTTTCCGACTTTCCGACGGTATTAGCTGCTGGGAATCCTTCGTACGTCCAGCATACTTACCAATGGAAGTGTCTATTGGTGTAACCATCAGTAATGGTTCTTATATCCAGCGAATTTTCAAGCAAAACTATCCGCTGGTAATTTTCGTCACTAATTATCATTCTATAGGTGCCAAAAAATTTGTCGAAAAGGTTGCATCAAAGTTTATCTTCGGATTTGCCGACGTAAAAGCCACTGACTATAGCTTTTCAAAAAAAAAATGCAGCTCACTTAATGTTGATGATTCACAACTCAATAGTGTATAGTTCACAATACTTTATGAAAATAGAATATAAACATGAAAATACAACATTTAAATTTTAAACATAAATATTAAAAATACAAATTAAAATATAAATCTAAACATTGTATCATTCAAGTTCAAAATGTCTATCACCAAATATGAAGTTTAAAACAGAAAGTTTAAACATGGAATTTAAATTGTCTATTATCGTCAAAAATTAAACATGCAGTTCAAATTACAACATTCAAAATTTTAATCATTTCTAGACTCAAACTCAGACTCAGATCAGGATATGATTGTTGATCCTTACCCTTATGATTCTCTTGAATATATGAGCACAATTCCACTTGTATCTCAGATTGTTGCATCATCTGAGATTATTTCATCATATGAGATTGTTGTGTTAGTATACTAGCATGTATATGTTGCATCTCCTCGATCTCTTTGGCAATACCAACTACCCTTTGGCTTGTGATTACATCTATGTTGTTGTCACAATATGATGCTGAACTAGACTGGTTTGTCTCAATTATATATGATTAAAAGCCTAGGTTGTACACCCTGCCTTTTTGCCTCCCTCCCACTGTCTGTGGCCTTGTCGGGTCATGAAGTATTATGTTGAACATGAAGATGATCCCTCGATAGGAGAAGACTGACTTACCCGAATTCGTATGAAATCATCCTACAATAGATTAAGTATATTAATATCAATTTAAATTAACATGTTATCATGATCAAAGACTATAGAAAATTAAATACTTACATGATCTTTTTTGCCTTCTCATCAATCCATTTCTTATCAACTTGGTGTTGATGTATCCACATATGCAACCCCAATGGTGTAGGATCTCTACCAAATATCTCTTCTTGAAAGAAAATATTGTTATAATAATTAACATATATGTTGAATACACATGTTAGAGGAATCATTTACGAATCATCTTCTATGCTCTATGTGAGACATTGAACCCCCCAGAGTGCAGGGAGCTCCCTAAACCCCCATGGTCGGATGCTCTGTTCAGCTTGTTATACTCTCTCATCTTCGCAAATTTAGGGATGGCCCAAGCTCTCATAAGTTTATCCCATACACCCTCTCCAATCTATAAGGGCCGCTCCCCTGACTTATTGCAGTCGGTAAAAATATCTCTTGAGCATGTAGATCCTCTCTTACTAAGAATCACATACAATGTAATTGTCCTTATTTTCAAATCATTAAGGAATATGGTTGTGTATCTATCACTGGGTTGCCAATTGTTATTTAAAACTAACAATGATGATTGAGGACAATCATCCACTATAGAATCCATGTTATGCCCAATTTTGATTCTTGAACTTCTAACATGTGACTCGAAGTAGAAAGAACATAAATGAGTTATCTCTTGTGCCAAATCATTAAGCAATATGGTTGTGTATCTACCTTCAGGGTGGGCTTTGTTCTTAATATATATTTTTAATTTGTTCAAGTATCTTTCATATGAATAAGAAAACTCTTATTGAAGGAGAAAAAATATAAGAAAACTTTAATGAATTAATGAGGTATTAAAATTGAACTGACTTTTCGAATGGATATATCAAACAATATTGAACATGACCTCCAACTCTTGCCTCATAAAGTAAGTGGACTCTAAGATTCTCCATAAAATAAAAAAAGGTCGAAAGAAATATTTTTTATAACTTGCAAAGAATGAAATGTATATTATGTTCACTTTTCAATAAAGCATCTTCTTTCAATTTTATTTAACATAGATCTTTAAAGAAATTGTTAGTTTCAAACAATGGTTTGAGATGTAATCCGACAAATAGTATGATAGAGTTGGAGGAACAAACTCCATAATAATGTGTTAGTCATGACTTTTCATTTCGCATAATCTTCCTGATTTAATATCTACACTACGACTTAAATTAGATACTTATCCATTCGACATTTTCAATGTATTGAACCACTTACAAACTAATCTTCTTTGATCTAGCATGAAGGTGAAAGGTGCTTTTGGCTTTAAAGTTTTACCTTTAACAATTTCTTCTTTTTTTTTCAGTTCAAGAGTTCTTCTCTTATAGTATTCCTTAACTTCCTTTATTGCTTTCAAATTATCTTTAGTTTTAACTTTCTCATCCATGATTTTATTAAAAATATTGTCAAATACATTTCTCAACGTGCATAAACATCTAAGTTATTTCTTATTAAATTTAAACTCCAGTATAATAATATCCAGAATAGGCTTTTTTTGGTCTAATTATGTTCAATTCCATATTTAGGGACTCTAGACATTGGCAATATGTTAGTAACTCTTTTAAGAACTTCAAGGATTTTTTTTGGATTATTACCTCATTGGTATACATCATAGACTTTGATTATAGGTCATTTCCCCATCTTGTCTTTTTGTCGTTGTGCTTTTCTAGAAATATATATATATATTTGAAAAATTAGGGACAAAGTTGATTCATTAACTAAAAGAGAAGCTTATAAGTGAAACTTATTATTCCCATGCGAGCTTTTGGCTGCAACAATCCTTTGTTTGACTAGAACCAGAGGAGCTTGGGCAGGCAGTGTCATGGCTAGGGTTTTGCATTCATCTCTTCTTGTAATCCTGTTTGCAACGTCTTATTATCTATGCACAAAATGAACACCATTCTTCTCATATTTATGTAATTCTCACAAAAAATAAAATTTATAATATCAGAGTTGTAAAAATTCCATCTAATCAGAATTAACACCCATACTTAGCTTGGCTCATAGTCCATTCTCTTATAAATATGACCACTTAAGCCATCTAAGATAAGCCAACCAACCAAATACATCCTAACTATAATACATAATAATACTTAAAATGAAAAATAAATAAAAATAATTATATTCTGATAAATAATTTGATCAAAATATCTTCACATAATTTTCTTGTCCCATGTCAAAGGCAACTAGGAGGGACAACAAAGCCGGAATTCTTTCCCTTCACATTCCTACAAAATGACTTAGCCAATTCATGATTTTTCCTCTTATAACTCAGTTTTATATTGGTAAGTTGAATCCCTTGGCAAGGGTTGCTCTTGCTACAGTCCAGATTCACTGCCACTTGTGTTGAAGAAGTCCCATGCACATCACTAAATGTCACCTTACTTATCTTTATTCCAGAGCTCTGTAGAAAAAAGGAGAGATTTTTTTTTTATATCTTATGAATTATAAGAAAATTTCATAAGAAATATTATATACTGTGCAAACTTATAAAATAAATTATTAGGATATGTTAATAAAAGATTGATTAGGATTAATGTCAAATTTGTTGAATGTTCCTTAAGATTATGATAATATAGGAGTGGTTAATAAAAACTTATATTGCACTAATCTCAAGTTAAATCCAAAATTACAAGCAACCGTCTAAATTAGTATCAAAGAAAAGACTTGGTTATATAAGAAATTTCAAATGCATTAGATCTTCATTCCTTGGGATCCCTATTGATAATAATAAAAACCTTGGGACAACACAAAAGACTTCACTTTTAAGTTAAAAACGGGTTGGCAGGTCGTGTCTGTTTGGCTCGGTCCGAAGTGGGTCAGGTTCGGGTCAGAAAAAGTGATCCGTTTGCAAAAAAAAGGTTTGGTTCTGATCAGGTCAACTGAGTCAAGTCAATTCCGGGTTGGAAATGAACCCAACCCATGACCCGATTTTGACAGCCATGCTTTTGATTGATTGCAAATATAATACATTCATCTTGATCAATTTTTTACCAAGCAAGATATCCTTAGACAAAAAAATTTCCCATTCAAAACCAAAATTCATTTCACTTACTTCATTAGGGCAATTGCCAGGAACCGGACAATAGTTTTGATCGATCATAATGGGATTCCCTACATTCTTCATAGTGCCATGCTCAAAAGTAACGCCTCTCACAAACCCCTTAGATGAAGGAGTCGCCCATGTCTTAACCCTAAATCCATTCTGTGTTCCTGTGAAAACCACCGAGCTCACTGTCACATTCTGTACCATCGTCGTTTCTGTGCCATCACCTAAACTTCCGATCGAGATTCCATGGCCTGGGCCGCATTTGATGTTCTCAATCCAAGCATTGGAAACACCTTCACCGAGAGAGACGCAATCATCGCCGGTGGCCATTGTGGAGCCGGTGATGGTGATGAAGCTCGACATATGGATGTGAATTCCGTCTGTGTTAGGGCTATTGCCTGGTGCGGTGATCGTCGCCCCTTCCACTTTTATTTCTTGGCTGAATATGATTGCGATTTGGAAATTCTGGCTATTTTGGACCTTTACTTTGCTCAACAACACGTTCTTTGCTTGGCTGATCGTCAATGCCTGAATGAAAGATCATAATTGTTAGCTAAACATTTTAAACTAAAAATTCTAACATAAATTTTTTTCCTTCCCGAACACATGTCATGTTTCTGGTGAAATTATTACGTGTGATCATCGGATGTCATCCGAAGACAAATTAAGATTCGCCACGTTACCATTTTATAGTGTACCATATCTATGTACAGTGTATACCGGGTGACATGGAGCATCCTGATTCGCATCCGGATGATCAGGTGATTGTAATTAATAAATTATCCATGTTTTTGACCATCAAAGAAATCTCATTTTTGTCAATGCATTCAACCATTCATTTATTGTTAAGTCAACAAGAAATTATAAAAAAAAAAAATATTCTTTGTAAAAAACTATAAATTCATAAGCCCAAGATTAATAGGCTTACCGTGGATCCATTGGGGCAATTGCGGCCCGCAGCCTTACAGGCCCAGAGCGACTGGCCTCGAGCATTGAAGGTGCCGCCGTAAATGGAAAGCCCCTTCACATATTTAAACGTGATCCACTCCGACGCGGTGGAATAGCCAGTTTTGCCCAGTATAGTGCCCTTTATGAAAAGCCCAATCTTGTCATTTTTACACGGACCTTGAAACAAAGCCCGGCCTACTAAAAAAGGCCCGCTAGGTACCACCATTGTGGCCGGAATTTTGTCACCACAGGCCTCGGCCCATGCAGCTAAGAAGGCCTTGGTAGAGTCAGTCCTCCCATCGGGCTTTGCGCCGAAGTCCACTACATTGTAGGCCGACTTTGCGACAGTGGAAAAATGCAGGAGGAGAAGGAGAATGAATTTCGGCTCCATTTTTCGGTAAATAGAGAGAAGAGAGTGAAAAGAATTGGGGAGGTGGAGGGAGTATTTATAGCTTTGAAGGAGAGAAAATATGGAGTTTAGGGTTTAGGTTATTACATTGGGATTGTAATTTCTTGGAGGTGAAGACATTTTTAGGGTTTTTTTAAAAAAGATTATTTTAATGATTTGTTGACTTTTCTTAGTAATTATTTGAAGGGGTATTCATAATAGAGATTTTTTATTTTATTAGTTATGAATGTGTTTAATGGATGGAACTTACTAAAATGTATGATTGTAATTTAAGCATTTTTATCACGTTGTATTATCTTCACCTCTCAATCATCCTCAATGGCATCTTCGACCTTCTTGTACTGTCTTGCACATGAGAAATTATTATGTGCATAGGCCGGACACAAAGAACCGTCCTGTTTGTCTCTGTGAATAATAATATTCACCACTGTGCTTTTACTGTTCATAGAGACAAAACCGAACGGTTCTCTGTGTCCGCTCCGCACGTAATAATATCTCCTCACATATAGCTTCAAGGTCGTGCTATCTTTGCCTTCAAAAGGAGGACTATCAGTACAATTTTAATTAGTAGCCCAATATTTCAGTACAACCTTCATGTCACCAATCTAATATTTTTAAGGATTTTTTGAATAATAGGAATTTTTCCCTTATAGATTATTACTTTGTGACCTCAAAAGAAGGAAATTTATCATTTAATTAATAAGAATGTCATGTGCTTGATGAGCCACAACATGAATCTTTAATCATATTTATTGCAAATGAACATGCATTGGTCCTAATCCCCATATAATTTTATGTATATTAGTGATTAAATTATGCAATAACATATTTTAGTGACTAATTAAATTACAAATTTGAGATTTAAGGAAACCTTTTTCATGCCTTAACACAAAAGCCATGACATGGAGATCATTAGGGAGGATGAATTAAGGAAATGTTAAAGTTGGATTAAGTACATTAGTGATTAAATGATGCAATAACATATTTTAATTTTTGCTATTCCATATTTGATTAAATTTAAAATTTTGTGTGAATTATAAATTTTGATATTTTTAATGAGAATGATACATTTTGATCTTATATGTAAATATCATAAAATCAAAATATTATTGGCTTGATAATTATAATTCTACTACTTAAAAATAAAATAAATCCTAAAAAAAAAATCTAGAGCTCTTAGGCTTAGTTTGAGTCAGCTTTCTTATTGCTTTTTAAAGTAGTTTTTTAGTACAAAAATTTCTTGAATTAAAAAACCATTATAGAAAGCAATAAGAAACTTATTCCAAATGAAGTCTCAAATAGTAATAATGGTCAATTAATTAGGCAATTCACTAAAATAATTAACCATTAAGGCATTGATTTCAATTCTTTGGTTGAGAGACAAAATATGAATAGGGTATGTTTAATATAGTAAACTAATTAAAATATATTCTTTAGACTGATTAACAATTTATTATGTTCTTAATTTGTAAAGAGTAGCTTATATGAATAATCATTATTAATTAGAAATATTTAATTTTATTATTAAGATTTTAAGCAGAATAATTTATCTTCTTCATCACAGATTTAAAATAGGATAATTATTGATCATTCTATATTCAATAAACAAAAATTTAATGTATAATCAACATATGAAATATATGATATGCATAAAACAACTTTGATAGCAATCAAAATATAATATTATTTACAAACAAATCAAAGCTACAAACCTTAGCATCTATAGTACTTAACATCCATTGTTTTACATTTGTTCAAAGAGAAAATAGAAATATTTTATCATCGTTAGCAACATTATCCTCCTTATAGTCATTTTCGTAATCATCCATGTCTTCATCCTCTACGATCTTCCTAGCTCCATCTTATTGTGGGAAAATATTCCACTAGATATGTACTTTACATTCCTATAATTAAATATGCATAGTCAGTAATATACTATCTCAAAAGACAAAAATGATATTTTATTATCGATTTAAAAATAAATATAAATCTATAATTTTCATAATCAATCATAGTATGGTGAATATTCTTATATCTTGAAAGATTAAATAATATTCAACTATCATTTTGAAAATGTAAATAAACAAGAACAAAGATTTGAATTAACAACTTCAATGTGCCTTGAAACTATTAATCAACAAGTCATAAGTCTCTAAATGAATGCATTTATTTCAGTCCGAAGAATAAAACGATCACATATTCTTTATTTAATTAAGATTTATTTAGTTTAAGTTGCAAAGAATCATGCTAATTAACAACTTCAAAGTGCTTGAAGTCATTCATTAATACACCCTAGGCTTCTACATAAGTGAATTTGTTTTATTCCAAAGAAAAAACTCAAATGCCTAAGGATCAAATCTAGGGCTTGGATTAAGATATACAACATGCTTCATGCATATGATCAAAGTTTAGGGTTTAAGGGTTCCTTTGGTAAAACTTGATCAACCTAGATCAAACATGGACCCCTATATGTTCAAATCATTGTAATGATGATTATGAAAATATTCAAACCATTTCTAAGGGTCTACAAGGAGATTTGAACCCATATGTCATGTGTGTGGCATACATTGTAATATTTGAAGGTTTTGAACTCATCATTGAAGCTTTAGGTTTTAGGATTTGGAAGGGTTTGGGGGGCTTTCAAAATGATTAGTGAGGCTCTAGGGAGATGGATAATCAATATATGAATGACCAAACATCATTCTAGAGACTTCATCTGGGGTTTTGGGCAGTGGCGGAGCCAAAAAATTTATTCAGGGGGGGGGCCTAAATTAAAATAGTTATGTTTGTCGTCTCATTACCGGTGTCAAGAATTAAGAGATATAAGATTAAAATTAAGAATGCAAATAACATGACCCTTAAAGCTTTGAAGACATAAATATCCGCCACGGGTAGGGGTGCAGTAGAGTCAAGCCGACTCGTGAGCTGGCTTGGGCTCGACTCATTAATGGGCTCGACGAGTCGAGCGTATCGAGCTCGCTATTCGAGCTCGAACATGACTTTTAGCTCGATGGCTAATCGAGCTCGAACACTCGACTGCTCGAGCTCATATTTCGAGCTACATCTATGGCTTTCTTAATATAAATCATATCTAATACATATGTTTTCTTAACCAAATCATCGAAAACTGAAGTTTTATGTTACCAAATCATCTCTGGCAACTCTCTAAATAGTAGAACTGATATGCACCTATTAAGGTCAAAAAACCAAATGATCTCTCTTTGCAAATAAACAACGAAATATTGAAAAGTTGCCAACAATTTCAAAGCCTAGGTTATTTCAAAATTTTTTGCATGGAATAAGATCTTGAGTTTTTCATATTAAATGCTAGTAAATATCACTGCAACTCTTCCATATAATTTTTTTTTTTTATATATAATTTTTAGAGGGGCACATGCCCCCCCTTGCCCCCCCCCCCCAATGGTTTTGAGCATGCTAAAGAAACCTTATTGTAAGGGTAAAATTCAAGGGCTTTAGGGTTTATATTTGAACTTGAAATTGAACTTTAAACTTTGGAATTCAATTTAAGATTGAACTTGAGATTGACCTCATACAAAAATGAGATCAACTCATTTTTGGCTACACCACCTAAAGCACTTTGCCATTGTATTTATTTAAGGATGAATTAAGCAATCTCCACCACCTCCTCTATCATTGCTAGTTACCCTCTAAACCAACTTTCTGCAGATCTCAAGAAATAATTTTTTTTTATATTATCATTACCTCAAGATAATAAAAAATTTTAAAATTCTCCAATTTTTGAGCTGTTTTTTTACTAATTTTCTGACTGTTTTCGGAATTTCCTGCTTAAAATTTGGAAAATAAGAGTGAAACTGGATCTTCTATTCATTAATTTGACTTTGGCTTAAATCTAAAGGCAAATATATAGCCTCATTTGACAATGAAAAATAACAATGAGAAATTATAAATCATATGATTCTAATCAATCAACACCTCCATTAAGCAATCTATATATTTTATTCCCATAAGCTCCCACGTGAAAATTAAATGACTCACAACAACAACAACAATAACATCAAGCCTTTATCCTACTACGTGGAGTCGGCTACATGAATCCTTTTTCTCTATTGTAACATGTTAAGAGTCAAATTATTATTTAAATCTAATAAAGGCAAGCTCTTTCTAATATTTTCTAATTAAGTCTTTTTTAGGGCTATCTCTCTACATTTCTTAGCATCGGCAAAATCTAATACATCTATTCTCCTAATAGGGTCATCGGGAGGGCGCCGTTTTACATCACCAAACCATCTAAGGTGACTCTCTTTAACCTTATGTCACTGGAGCTACTCCAACCTTCTTACGGATATGCTCGTTTTGTATCCTGTCTCTCAGAGTAAATCTACTCATCCACCTGAGCATCCTCATCTCAGCAACACTTGACTTAATATTATGCTTCTCTTTTAATAACTAACATTCTGCGCCATAAATCATTGCAGGCCTCACCACTATCTTATAAAATTTTCACTTAAGTTTAAGAGGCACTTTCCTATCACACAACAAACCCGAGGCATTCTTCAACCATCCAATTTGAATTCTACTAATAATATCCCCATCTATTTCACTATCACTCTAAACAATAGATCCAATAAATCTAAAATGAGTACACTTATTGATGACTCAATCGCTCAAAGTCACAAACCCCCTACTAGATCTATCACTACTAAAATTATACTAAATGTATTCGATTTAGATTTGCTCAAACAAAAACCTTTAGACTCTATGGTTGACCTCTATAATTCGAGTTTACCTTCAACTCCTCTAGTCTTATCAACAAGAAGAATATCATCATCAAAAGGCATACACTGGGATACATCCTCTTGCAAATGCTAGTAAGAACATTCTTGACTAAAGCAAAAAAATAAGGGCTTAAGGTTGATCCTTCATGTAATCCAACTGAAATAGAAAAATACTTAGCCAAATCACTTTGTGTTTGAACACAAGTAACAACTCATGCATACATATCCCGAATGACTTGAATATTAGCAACTTCATGTAATCCAACTGAAATAGAAAAATACTTAGCCAAATCACCTTGTGTTTGAACAAAAATAACAACTCCTGCATACATATCCCTAATGACTTGAATATTAGCAATTTTAATGCATCAATATTAATTTATTTATATAGTTTGAGAAATCAGATAACTTTAATCTAAATCAAATGCTGTTATATAAAATCTATTTTAAAATTATAAAACTAAAAAAAAATTTTTTTTCTCTCAAACCATTTAAATTATAAAATAAAATTTTTTATTGAATTTATTATATTAAATAAAAGTAAACTAAAAATATGTTTTCCAAATCAAATCAATCCAAAATATATATTGTATATCACTTCATTGAAATAAGAAAGCCCAGCCAAATCGATTAGTTAATTCAATTAGAGTTCAATCATGTTATTATTTAAATTTTTTTTATGATCATTCATTGGAATCTCATTTATGTTAGGGATGAACTGTTTCATAATAAACAGGTTTATGAATTTAATTTGTTATATATATATATATATTCACCAATCACGGACAAGACGAGATCTGCAAAGATATTTAATTAAAATGAATAAATCTTTTAAAAAATTCTGATTACAAGTGGAACTCAAAAGACCAAGTTCTAAAATAATTTATTCTTATTTATATAGTTTTTTCCCCTAAGTTTTCCAACGGATAGAATTTTAAATTTTGGATAGCATCCTTAAGATGCAAAGAACCGGCACATGGTAATGCTTAGAGATTCAGCAAAATAAATGGTAGAAATTAGTATCCCATTCAATGCAAGAAGAAGAAGAAGAACAGCAACATCAAGATTTTATCCCACTACATGATGTAAATTAAGGCTTCGTTTGGGATAACTTTCTTATTGTTTTTTAAGACCTTTTTTGCGAACAGTTAGGCCAATTAAGGCAGACTCACACACACATCGCATACACAAGATCTCTTAGTTGGTAGCCTAAGCTCGCAACCAATAGACCAAGATGAGCTGTGTTAAGACAGTTTTTTAGTAAAAAATTTTCTAGTCCAAGAAACTTTTGCACAAAAAATATGCATTAAAAACTAGTAAAAAAATTTATCCCAAACAAAGTCTAAAATATTTATTTTATAGGTATTCAACAAATTTTATGCAGGTTGCAGACTACCTGACGAAATCATTTATTTTTCTCATTGAATGCAAATAAAATGATTTTCTTCTAGTCATGATCTAATGGCATAAATGTTAAATAAGAATAATTATACATGATCTTTCTCCTTTTTGACATCTCTAACAACATGTAAATTTGGAAGCAGAACTTGTGAGTACAGGAAGGAAATTCTTAGCTCTTCATATTATCGAAAAACCTGGAAAGAGGTACCGGACCGCCACCACTTCCTTCACTGTCGCTGCAATGGTGTTTGGAGGACTTGGATCGGTGCCGTTTCTCTTTCCTTGTACTCTTGGATCTTGACTTGGACCTGGACCTCTTCGACTCTTTATTGTCATCGTCACTGCTTGAGGAGGATTCTGAAGATGAACTGCAAGAACTTGAATCGGATGACCTCTTCTTATGCTGCAGGATCAAGATTGAAGCATTAAGAAAAAAAATGATAATAACTCAGGTTTTGCTAGGTAGACACCATCAAAGAGATCCATAGCAGAGAGAGAGAGAGAGAGAGATCATCATATCCTCTTATATTTTGCCATGAAAAAAAATCAGAAGTTATTTGTGATCAGATAGATCTTAGCTTAGTATCAATTAGTCATGATTTGGGTGTTTAAGGTCATTCAAACAAATTTTCAAGTTTCATTGTAATCGGAAGTTTCTGCTCAGCTCCAAACTCTGCTCTGTTATTATTTTTAGGCTTCGTTTGGGACAGGTTTTTTATTGTTTTTGTTAGAATTCATAGAATTTGAGAAGGGCAAAAATACCTTCTAATTATTATACAAAATTATCCCTATTTATAGATCTATACAAGATGTCTTAATAAAGAAATAAATAACTTCTAATTGATACATAATTGCCTCAATATAATCCTTCCTAATTCAGCTACCCAAATATAGAAGAATATTGGCGTGATCCAGGTGAGCCTCCCACGGATTCTCATCCTAACCGTGGGATCAAATGCTAAGGGATGACTGAGATTTTGACACTACCCCTCAAGCTGGAGACCAGCTTGCAATTACTCGCTCAGAGGTAGAGCTGCATTGGTTATGGATAGGGTATCAACCACCAGAGAAAGCCGGCAATGAAGGCCGATGATGGAAAACTATCCTCAAAATTCCGACAATTAAGGCCGGTGGTGAAAATTTTGTATTCCTCAGGTTTCCAGCAATGAAGGCTGTACTGTGATATTGTAGCAATAAAGGCTGATTTGATCATGTCAACAATAAAGGTTGATTTGATCATGTCAGCAATAAAGGATGATTTGATCAGCAATAAAGGCTGATTTGTTTATACCAGCAATAAAGGCTGATTTTATTATACCAGCAATAAAGGCTGATTTGATTATATCAGCAATAAAGGCTGATATCAGGTCTTAATCATGTCTCAAATCTGATTTAAGACTTCTTGCTGTTGTTGGCCTGTCTAAGATAATCGAGAGGGGCGTCTCTATGGATCTGAGCGGAATAGGAAAATCGGAAGGAGCTTTCGATCGAGTCGTCTGAGCAATGTAGCTATGTCCGCGTTGTCAGCTCTATCCGCATCGTGAGCTCCGTCAGCGACCTTGGCTTTGATCGCAAGGCTTCGTTGCTTCTGCACGCACAAGAGTTGGCTCGCAATTAGGCGGCTCCTTCCCATGAGGTCTTGATGTTTCCTTCCTTTGGCTCCGTCTCGCAGGAGGTTTGCTCGGCCCGTCCGTCCCGCAAGGCCCCGACGCTTCCTTCCTTCGACTTCGTCACAGTTTGCTCGACCCGTCCAGTTTCATTCAGCTTCAGGCTTCGGGCTTCTAGGTCCAGCGTTGCTTCTTCGGCTCCTTCGTGGTTACGCTCCTTTGACTACTTTCCCTTTCTGTCGGATCGGAAGTTACGACGTTTGATTGGGATCGGTTGGGTATGCACGGAGGCTCCACAAGAGCCGGGCAGGCGAAGTTTTGCGGTCGAATCTTTCAGGCGGAACCAGGTTCCCGCGTGCGATTCTTCCGGTCAGCAGAAGATCTCCCGTACATGCGCAGGGGGAAGCCGCTACTGTTGGCGGCGTTTGGCTTCGGCAAAGCTCAGCTCCAGCCTTTGTTGGCAAAGCTCCGTCTACGGCGTCGTCTTCGGCACGGTTTCTCCCGAGTGGCTTCTCTCTGAGAACGACCGGCTAGGGTGGTTGAGCCTCGGCGCAATAAGGGCCGCTCGGCTCTCAACGGGAGTCTCGTTCGTGGCTGTTCGGCTTTCTACTTTCGACGACTTTGGCCTTCCTCTCTGATGGGAAGTTCCGATCGGTGTTTCGGCTCCGTCTCGTCCCGTCCTGGTGTACACGGGTCCGGCAGCATCTCGGATGCTCCGAGCTTCTTCTTTTCTCTTCCTCCTCCGATGATCTAGGATCGTTCTTTGACGGCAATTAAGGCCGTTGGCTCTGATACCATGTTTGAATTCATAGAATTTGAGAAGGGCAAAAATACCTTCTAATTATTATACAAAATTATCCCTATTTATAGATCTATACAAGATGTCTTAATAAAGAAATAAATAACTTCTAATTGATACATAATTGCCTCAATATAATCCTTCCTAATTCAGCTACCCAAATATAGAAGAATATTGGCGTGATCTAGGTGAGCCTCCCACGGATTCTCATCCTAACCGTGGGATCAAATGCTAAGGGATGACTGAGATTTTGACAGTTTTTTAAAATGATTTTTTAGTATAAAAATTTTTAGTTTAAGAAAATTTTATATTAAAAAGCAGTAAGAAAGCTGTCACAAACGAAGCCTTAGTCTATGAATAACAGAAAGAAACATACATCAACTGAAGCTTTCAAATTCAGTACCACCACCAAATCTGCACGTTGAAATCTCTAAAAATTTATCGTTCAATAATCTAACTAATGTAAGAGAGTTCAAAAAACAATTTGCTAATGAGATGGTTGATCACTTTGTTTATGAGATTATCATAATAACATACATCACTAGTTAGGATTACAGTTATTTAAATATCCGGCTAAGCTCATTGATAGTACCTATTTAAATGTCAGCAATTTTTATGCAAAAGGAAAGAAAAAAAATTTGAATAAACACTGATTCTTTTAGATTGCATTATAAGCCTAAAGAGAGAACCATTATTAGTAATCCAAAATACGAATGTGAAAACAATGAAAAGTTGGTAAAGGTTGACAGCCAATCATAAAATATACGTTATAATCAATGATATGCATCACGATATCCCATTTGTTAGTGCTAAGTTGTAGCACAAATGATGCAACACAACCAACATATTATGGAGAAAATGGGCAACAGTTTGCTTAAAACATCAGTACCAAACACCTTAGAAACTGTAAGCCGAACCAAAATCAAATGCAAACCCGTTTTTATCATTTTCGCAGAACCTAAAAGCTGCAGATTAAGTTCTGCGGTTGAAAGGATTATAATCTACAAAATCATGGCGACTTCCTCCATGGTCAAAATTCATGGCATTTGTTGAAGTAATCAAGTTTTAATTTGCAAAAGATCAAAGAATTCTTCTAAATATAAATACAACCTAGAATAAAGCTGCAAATTGATGTTTAATTAGTAAGTGTCAAACTCTGATCAAGAAAACTAAATTGATTGGACTTGATGATCAAAACAACACACAACAATATAAAAAACAACTTACTCCAAATAGATCCAGGAATAATACCAAGAATGTTGTTTTTACTAATTTCCAAGCAAAGTAAGATAATATACAAGTTGATTCACTGTTCAAGAGGTGAATCGTCTCTCCCACAAATCCTATTTGGTTAACATACCAATTATGGGAGCTACCCAGTTATACAAGGAAATCTTATATAGATTATCCACCTATTATAATTATTATATAGTTAATTCCATTTTAGTGTTTTATCCTTGATTTCATATATTTCCAATTAAAAGCCTTTCTACGATTGTATAAACTCTTTAAAATGTTGGAATAAAATACATTCAATAATTCTCCAATTTTATCAGGGTATCAAAGTTTTACTATTTTTTTCAATGTCCACTATTCTTTCTTTTCTTCCTAAACTTTAAAACAAAACATTTCTATTTTTATTCATGTTTTCCTCCCACAAACACATTGTGATAGAAAGTGGATGCTATTTCATCCAAATCAACAAACAACACAACAATATTGGGAAGAAGAACATCGAAGAACATTTTTTATTGCAAAACTATGAAAGAAAATGCAAGATATAATTAGATCTTCAATTGAAGAGAAAGATCCGGTTCTCCCAAATCCCTAGCCGCTAGCTAAAGCCCTCTCGCCGAAGCAAACTTCAATTTTAGCAAAACAAAAAATAAAAAACTCAACCCCAGGGTAAACAATATACATAAAGCATGCCAAAAATGTAACAAATGCCAAAATAGCCCACTCCCTTCAAAATTTTCCTCCTTGTCGTCAACCCGAAAGGGGCGGGTCCGGGATTCAACAAGGCGGGGCCTTATTCTACCTCACATAACATTTGATCGGTCCAAGAGGGACCGGTCTAATAATAACCCCCTCCCAAAGACCCACCTTATCCTTAAAGTGGAAAGATGGAAAATGCTGCTTCACCCTCTTGTACGGCTCACATGTGGTGTTATAGTTGGGTAGATTCTTTCATTTTATCAACACTTTTTTGATCCCCCCTCTCCATGTTATACCCTTTTCAAGTCCAATGGTTCCAATGCCACCTCCAAATCCTCTGTCAGTATCATGAGTAACTTTGAACTTGATGCATGATCCCTGATAGCTCTCCTCAACTGTGACACGTAAAACACCGGATGTATAGTAGCGGTCGGGGATAACTTCAATCGATAAGGCACTGCTCCAATCCTCTCCAGTATCTCATAGAGACCAAAGTACCTCAGGGCCAACTTTTCAATTCTCATGTTAGCTACCAGGAGTTAACGAGAAATTAAGAAGAGCAATTGTTGAAAGTTTTCCAATATAAAATTATCTTTCACAAAAAGAAAGTACACGTTAGATTAACCAAGACAATTCGATCAAACTTCAAAGACAAGAGTAACTTTTATAAAAAAAAAAAGGAAAAAAGAGTAACTTTTATAAGCGCATAAGAAAATCCACAATTTAATAATGAGAGGTTTCACATTGAGGACCTTCTCACTAATTCACTCGTGGGGTTAGCAGAAGATGCTCCACACTATAAAAGAGATCGCCACTAGGAAGAAGAAGCTTAAGATCTTCGTTGATGGAAAGGCTGCCAGCGACAGATGGGTTGGTGGGCGTCTCGCAATCGACCACGATCCGAATGGGAGGTGTTCCTCAATTGCCGGTGCCAACGTGAATGTGATGCGGTCAATGTAGCCTTTCACAGAGTCGTCGACGTTCAAGTTCAAATCGAAGAAAGTAGATCAAGGAATCTCCATCCTTCCTTGGTTATCATATACGAACCCGAGATCAACGTCA